ATCATTCTGGTGTGTGTGGATGTGGGGACACAGACCCATGGAGGAGCAAGAATGCAGAGCCTGGCTGCGGCTCCAGAGGGCACATTCCGTGCCTTTACTCCTCCCGCAGGCAGAAGCAGCAGAAAAAGGTGAAGGAAATCTTAAACAACTTTCCTTTTACTTTCACGGCAGCCACAGTGCGATAAAGTCCTTTGATTCTGGAGAAGCTTAGCTTCCATTTTCCTACTGGCTTTAAGGGTTTCTTAAAATTAAGCCGATGGGTATCTGTACATGGCTGTAAGCGTCCAGCACAGGGTACCTGCACAGAAATATTGTTATGTGGCAGTGATATTTTTGCCCTGAGGCTGGTAAAGTTGTGATGCCGTCCTGGTCCTAGTAAAAGTGCTAGTAAAAAGGAAGGTTACTACACCTCTAAATAAACTTTTTTCTTCCTGCCACTGGTGAGTGACACAAACTAATTTGCAGGGAAAAGGTTTTTTTTTCACTGTTATTTAGTCACAGTTTTAGTCTCAGCTGAGAATAGCCAAGTTGTTGGAGATATGGATAGTATTCTGTACAACAGACTTCTCTAGATCAGCTCTGCAGTTAACATCTTACTGCTATTCCACTGTAACTTTTTAATAATTTAAAAACATTAAATTATTTTAAAATATCAAATAATTTAAAAATATCACAACATGAGAAGGCCTAAGGCTGTGATTTCCAGGGCATCCTATAGCATGAGGACCCAGCAGCACTAGCAGACAGCAGAGCTACACAGTTAGGGAAGCCAGGGCCAGCACTCACCAGAGACATGAGGAGGCTTGTGGATGCTCTCACCATGCTCCCAGGTGCCTGAGAGTCCCCTGCTCTGATCAGGGAGTTTTATCTCTCCAGTAACCTTTCCTTGAACAGCCAAGAGTGTGATAGGGACCATAACCATGTTCTCATTACCTGCTTGTAATGGCTGAGGTATGAACTGTTCAGTTTGGGGTTTTCTAAAACAGAGGATGCAGACAAAAATTTGATGTATGCTGCCATCTGCTGAGGGCTTCATATTATCATAAGCACTTCAAATTTATTTCTGATAGAGGTAATGCTGCTGAGAGTAAGGGTACACAAATAAATGGTACATGACGATCACACTAGTTGTATAAAAAGGATTTAAAGCCTCCTATCACTTGACTGTCTCTGCAAAATGTGCTTCAAAAAGCTGGAAATCTGTAAGAAGATTTACCAGATTTACTGGTAAGTTTATTTTTAATTGCAAATTATTTCCCCTAAGGGCTTTATGCTGTAGCGCTTCAAGACAAGTCTTGTTCTTTATTCTTCTTCCTTTTGACTCCCTCCCTCTGTCACCTGAAAGCTTCAGAGAGACCATATTTGTTTTAGGACCACACCTGAGAGACAAAGGCCTCATTCCTACTATTGCCACTGCAAGCCACTTTAATTCACAGAATCATAGATTCAACTGAGTTGGAAAAATCCTTTAAGATAATCAAGTTCAACATTTATCCCAACAGGAATTAAGCAAATGCTGTCTTGGGAAAGCCACAGGTGGTTACCCAGCCACTGGAGCTCCACCAGCCTGCCTTGCACCAGGCTCAGCAGTGCTTGAATTATGGGTACGCAGGGTAGCATCCCACTTGCTGCAGCTAATTTCCATTCATTTAGTCCTCTGCTAAAGAATTAAAGCAGTTGCTTTGGCTTTATCTTCTAAGATAGCGTTTTGCCAAGCTGGTTTTTGCTGTGTGGCCATACCCAGCCCTGGCTATGGGGACACAGAGGTGTATGCTGGCAGCCCTAGAGCAGAGGTCTGATGTGGGTACCAGAGGCAAGGATAGGCTCCTCACTCAGCTGCTAGTCATGTGCCTTCATCTACCATGTATAAATGCACTCCAGCATAAGGAGATGGAGGATCATTAATGTTTTCTCTCGTGCCCATTGCATTTTACACTTGCATTGCTCAGACTGGCAGCTAACAAAGTGGTCTTCAGCAAAATGAATCAGTTAAGGAATCAGTTTTCTTTTAATCAGCAAAAATTGGTCTAGTTGTTTTGTGCCATCCAGAAGGCTTCATTCTTACCTCTCCCCTGCCAAATCTTGAAGCAAACTACTCAAAATCCTACCCACCCAACCAGTGTCAATGGTGGGGGATACAATCTGCTGTACTTTACAGCAAGAACACGTGACAAAAGCAACAAAACAAACTCAGAAGCCTCTGCTAATGTAAAACACATAAAAACAGAGATTAAAGGCAATGATTGAGCATTTCCAATTTCAGTTCCAATAAGAAACACTTCCTCATACCTTTCCTTGTCCCTTCCTTAAACAGCTCAAGTAAGCTCACTTCTTACTGTGCTTGATGTAATCTCAGGCTCCTGCTGCTTACAAGTGATACTGCTTGTCACAGGGCTATTTGTTGAAGAGATTTCATCTGCACATCTTAAAATGGTACTACACTCACAGAGATACTGGAGAGTGTGTACCTTTCAGGGATCAAACTACAGCAAGATTTATGGTGCAACACTTAGATTATAAGATTCCAACCTGCCTTGTTTTGATGTTGAAGGCAGTAAAAAAAAATAAAAAATGGACTAACCAGATCCATTTCTTTAAGTTTAATGTGCATTTCTTGAATTTCTATTTACAGAGTTATATGAATCGTGTCAGTGAGACAGCCCCTATGAGCAGAGCTGTGAGGCATCGCCACCTCTGTGCACTGATTGCTTCCTGGTGCGCTATGTATTAGCATGTTAAAAACATGTCACCTCTCAGCTTTCTCGGACACCAAACTTAGGTGTTTGGTTTTAGTCTTATCTCTGTATCGTCAGAAGTTGCCTTATTTGTACCTCTCAAGTGAAAAAAAAAGAGTTTTGAGTTGGCCACAGGAGATTTTATCCATGTGATGCTTTTTCAGAGTGTCTGGGAAAACTGCACATTGAATAAAAGTCACATCTGGTTTACCCAAACTTACAAGCTTTGTCTCGGTTTCCACACTTATATATCATGAATACAGGAACAGGTGATGAATGGCAAAGGAATTTATCTTCACATGCTGAACATTTCTTGTGAGGTTGAGTACATTTTCTGAGAGTTTAGTACACGTTGATGCAAGTTTTCTCCACAAGCTGTGCATAAAAGCAGGTTGTATTTCTAAGGGACACTATGGCTGTAACATAATCGTATGATAAAGCGACCATTTTAACCAGAGACATGAGTTCACAAGCTAGAAGCTGTTTCAGCAGCCTCTTTAATAGTGTAGCAGATATACACCCCTCTAATAGAAAGATCTTAAATACTTCCAAGGTGTTTACCATAAATCTCCTAATCAGGATTAGTTAAACTGGAGTTGCCTTCAGCCCTGCCTGGTTTGGCAGGCCTCTGTCATGCACGCGTGGTGTAGCCAATTATTTTCGTTGAATAAAGAGGAGAAAAGCCAAAGGAAAAAAGGAAAAGATTTGGTAACCTGAGCTAGGTATACTCATAAGTGTCTGCCATTGATCTGGGGGTCAGTGTGGCTTCTTGTTGAGAAGAATTCACTACCTTTCTACATTTTACATTGCATTTCTCTTTAACGTAAAGATCACAATGGATACTCATTATACAGTCTTCTCATGGAAATAAAAGGAGTCCAAACAGAATTTTCAGGGGTCCTTTCAGAAACATGAAATAACAACTCCATGAGCTCAGACAGCAGCGCCCTCATCTCCGGACTGCTGATAATTCTAAAACACGAGCCCTGCTGGGGCTGTGAATATGTTATGGAAACAACCAGCGAACATTAAAGCTCTCCTGAAAACTTCCTAGTTACACAAGGGCTCAACATTGTTTTAGTTCCATCATGGTTCTGTCAAATTTCCCATTTTATTCCAGTTTTTATATCAGCTTTGCAATAATGCTTCCCTCTTCTTTTCAACAATGTGCCAGGTTTGTAAGTGCTGTTTCCATTGTACTGCAGTTTCTTTAGCCAGGGTGAAAAGTATTGGTGAAGTGTCCTCTGAGATCAAAGAACAACATGGAGGTTGACAGTTCGTGCAGGTTTGCTGTTCTCTCTCAATTTTGATCCAACACATTGCAGTGAAAATGCAGTTCCAGTTCCGCCAGCACTTTCTTGCGGCAGTGGTGGATGACAGTGGTGACACGGATACAGATTTAGAAGCACACAGGCTGCACCCAAAACCACATTTCAAGCAGATCAGCACACTCGATAAGATGATAAGATCAATTTTGGCTGATATTGAAAAGCTCTAACAATATTATCCATTATTCATCCCACCTAGACCCAGACAATCAATTCTAAAATTGACAACTTCCACCCAGGATTTTTACAAAGAGCAAGTGTAAAACAATTGCGTGCTTTCCAACCTAACAGCACGAGGCTGTTACGTTAAAATGTCTTGTCAAATAGGAAACCACAGCAGCACTTCAGATATTTTGTCCTTTGCCTGGCTGACATCAGTTCATCTGCACAGTGTACTGATGTCACTAACAGGTACAAAGAGTGAGGGATCTATATTGTCCTGTCTGCAGAGAAAGAGAAGGAAAACATGGAAGGCAACTGAGCATGAGTGCCTTCCTGAGCTGTACTACATCATGCAAGCTTGGGAGTATTCAGTGGCTATTGCACTGCATCGTTCATCATATATACAGCAATGATTTTGGCTCTTTAACCTATTGAAAGGCAGTAAAGAAGCTTCTCTTCCCTTTCAGACTTCCCTTTCAGTAATCTCATGATTTTTCAGTAAAGTTACAGCCTGTGTTGCTCATTCCAGAGTTATTTACCACAAGAATACCCCTCTCAACTCCCTCATTTTTAGGGACTTTGTTCACAGCCACATGATAAAAGATTAGAATCCAGAGAATTTTTCCAAAAAGAGTTGAGCATACTTGCCAAATGCTTGCCAACTGCTATTTCCGGCTTGCTTTATGGCTTCAGAGAAAGCTACTGCTCCCTGTGTAAGCGTGGACTTTATATATGAATACTTCCAGGAAAGAAGTCTTTTTGTCATCTGGTTCTTGGAAGGTAAGTATTAAATAACAGCTAACAACCTGATCTGAAGTTGTTCTAGTCTTTTACTCATTGTTCCTGAAAAACTTTATTGGGATAAAGCATCCTGGGTTATCAGTCTTAGAGCTTTTTCTATGTGTGAAATTCATAGCTGACAGTAAATACGCATGCCCATCATCCAGCATTCAACTGTCTCTTCCATCCAAAGGAGGCTGGATGTGCAGCAGTTTTCATTAAGTACAGCTACCAGTACCAAAAATAAATGGTACAAAGTAGTCTGTGAAGGTACAAAGTTCGGAGCAGGTGTCCAGAAGAGTGTGGTGAGTCCTTCTGTGGGGCTGTGAGTGTTCAGAAGCACCACTACTCTCCTCAGGTCTGCAGCTCTTCTCTCTGTGAAGCAAAACCAGTTATACATCTATTCAAATGCTTGTGTTGCTGCCTATTGAACTCTGAAAGGGAATGAATATTTTTCCCCTGCTGTACTAGGGTCACCAAAGGAACTGCAGGGCTGCTGGAGCCAGGACTACCAGCAGAGGTGTGTCAGGAAAACACACCACCACCACCACAAGAGGTGTGATGTGGTCCGATTCCTGCTGTGTACACTGTTAACCCAAGCAAATGAGAGCAGCTTCTCCCACCACTTTATTTCACCAGTTCGCAGCCTGTGCTAAGACAGGAACATAAGGGTCATAAAGAAATACATTTTCAAGGGATGGAGGAATATATTAGTGATAGTAGTAGATACTGCACGCATGGGTCTCATACATAGAAGGAGGGGGTAAGGCTTTGAAGCTTTGAAGGGGTTTATTCTGTTTCCTTTTAGTTGGAAGGCTCATAGCAGGCTATATGAGGCATCCCCATGAGGATGGTAGGTAAGACCCAGGGCTAGCTGCAGATCCTTTCCGTTTTGCAGGGATACCTGTGAGCCAAGCAGAACAGCCTGGGGTCTCCCAAATGGCTCTATATGCCTCTGCTTAGGCAACAGATCCTTGCTTGGGATTCCTCCTGAAACACCACTCTTCCTGCTCAGCTGACTCAACCCAACATCTCTCTGGCAGCACTCGATGGATGCTGACAGCAGAGAACCTGGTCTCTGGAGAGTGGATCACCCTTGGGTCAGGTGAAGGTGGCTGCAGTTTCCCCCCATTTCCTTAACTCTGTTATTCTCTCCTTCCAGCCAACACCTTCCCCAATTCCTTTGGCCCCCTCAGCTTTGGCTCTCCAGGCTTTTCTGTAGCTGCCTCACAGCTTTCAGGTAAAGTCCCTTACACCTCCCCACTCTGTGCCTCCAGGCCCCCTCACCAGTCACTCCCACCCATATTGATACATGCTCTTCTCTCCTCTATACCGCTGCCCAGCGCTCCCTGCATCTTGCTCTCTCTGCCCTGCATGTGGACCTGCTGCAATCCCCACATGTGCACTCAGAAAGCATGTGTCCATACAACACAACTCAAGCTGTGACAAATACAACCTAAACTATGTGGCAGAGCAAAGCAGCAAGCAAAGACAGAGAGACAGGGCAAAAGTAGACCTCCATCTGTTCATGTATCCAGTCCAGGAAAGAGGTGGTTCGGCTGTAGACACCCGGCTTGTTCTTTTCTGCACAGCCCACTCCAAAGCTGGTGGTCCCCACCAACTTCCAGATACTCCTATCTTCACATGCTAAAGGGCCCCCACTATCTCCCTGGAGGACAAAGAATTAGAACAAATGTTAGTGCCTCAGAAATGAAGTGGAAGATCTATTTGGGGGGTAGGGGGAGAGGCATAGTCTAGTAATTCAAAGTCTTCTGTATCTGCTCTGTTCTGGGTACTGGGAAAAGCATATGTTATGGTAGAAGTTGGAGACTTCTTAGAGATGTGTATTAGATCATACCTTTCTTTCCCTATCTAGCAGTCCAGAGAAGCAGTGTTGAAGCTGCTTCTCTCAAAGAGCTCCTAGCTGTTGAGCTTAGCTGAGCCCAGGGTTGCAACAAGCTTGTACCCCACCTCCTTCCCTGCCTGCTTCTACCTGCAGTCTTACATAGTGCTTTTCTGTCCCTGGCACTTTGCAAAGCAGATTCAACTCAATGGACTCACATCTACTAACTGAAAACTCCCTATTTATTTTCCTGGGGCAGTTTCCCTATGAGCATCAGAGTCAGCACAACAATGGAAAACAAGGGAAGTTGGAACAAGCCTCTCCCTTTGGTGAGTACAGCTTGTTTTGTTGCTGAGTGTGCTGCCTTTGGGCAGCTCGCATAGGTATAGTGATGAGACTGGGGGGGGAGTGCAAAAAGGGGCATAAATGAATATCTATGCACCGCATGTCTTCTCTTTGTCTTGCTCCCTGCGAAACTGGGACTGAACATACCTGGAAACAAATTCCTTCCTAGTTCTTTCACTTCATGCATGACTAGCATGGTGAGTCCACATTAGTGTGTATGGGAATGAGACCTAGCACAAGGTGGGCACTCTCTTGATTCTGACAGTGATTTTGAAGCATTACCACATTGTATTGTGAAGGATGCTCTGATTCATCACTGCTATGAACGCTCTCCTCCGGAGTCATTACCAGTCTATGGAGTTACTCAGACACCTCTCCCTTTCTTCCTTCCCCTGCCTCACTCTACTCTTTCCAAAATCTTGTGTTTCTTTATTGATGTACACTTTGGCCGCTTTTAACCATGGGGTTTCTACACCTTGCAGGCCTTCAGAGCTGCTCACAGTGCAGTGCAGTAAAATTCAGCGCAGTGCAGTACAATTCAGCGCAGTGCAGTACAATTCAGCACAGTGCAGAGGCCGCAGCCAGAGCAAGGAAAGGATGGCACCACACTGTACCACATGGAAGAAATTAAAAAATGTCTTAAGTAAATTTGGCTTCAGAAGTAGCAGATATAGGCCACAGATTAAACATCAGAAGGGAATTGTAGCGTATGAATGTATGCACATTCACTGATTGATATTCATGGTAAACAGAGTAAATGGCACAAAACCAAATGTTTGTCCAAGAAAAGCCTGGGAGTGCCTTCTGATAACTTATCAGTCATGTTTTTCCATTGCTGCTGTTAATGAGCTCAGTTGCAATTTGGAAACTTCCATACCTGGCACGTGTCTACCCCTCCCTTCAGGAAACCGGCACAAAGCATTGAAGGACTTATGATCCCTCCATAGACATCCCTGTGATTGCAAATTGCATTAGAAATCAGAGGAACACCTGCATAATTCATGGTGTCAGATGTATCACCTGTTAAAATAGAAAAGGAAAAAAATCCTCACAAAGAAAAAGCTCTCTATTGCAGAAACTAATCTCTAATTACACACAGAAAGTGTTTCAGTATGTGAAGAATTGGCAAGCAAGGCTGAAAGTAATGTGGTTAAAATGACACCGAACAAATAAAGGGAACTGGGTGTCTCATCACATACAAAATCCAGTAACTAGCGACTCTGTAGAGATGTGGTTTGTCACAGTATGTAATACAAAGCTGTACCTTGTGTGTTTTTACTTCAGACTAGAGAATCAGTGACAATAATGAAAAGTTGATTGGACAGTGTCTTCTAAACCAGTGCCAAAATTCATTTCAAATTTATCACCTGTTCTGTTAGTCAGCAAATCATCTGCAAATATCTGATTTGTTTTATAAATATTTATTTTCTCCTGAGTCTAAGCGGATCATTTCTGTAAATGGGAGTATTTGCACAATGTCTATTGTCCATTTATAGCTGACTTTTATGTGGTAAACCTTGCTTTCATTTTTTTCCTACCTTCCACTGTTACCAGTAGGTCAGGTAACATACTGTTCTTGCTCTCTGAACAATGGGAACACGTCAGTTGAGACAAATGAAGAATGATAAAACCCAATTACCCGAGAATTCAAGTATTTTCACATGGAAGTGATTCACTATAGTTAATTGATTAATATGACCTATGAGTAATGGTAAGAGAGAAAAAAGAATTCCCTGCTCACAGATCTGATTTCCACATCATCCAACCTGCCTGAAAATGCATACATGCTGTCTCTGAGAAAATGGATGGTCAATTCTTGCATTCATTCTGTGGTTTCTATGATTGAAGTTATAAAGGACACCACCTGTTTGGCTGAGGCTGAGTACAACATCGATGCAGTCCTCATGTCATTTTCAACCTTTTCACAGAGCATACCCATCCATTCCTCACGATAAGGGCTTGTACAGCACTTTTACTCATTAGGGTAAGCATAAAATTTAGGAATAAATCTTGTCCCCCCCCACCCCAGATATTCTAGAAAATTTAATATTGAACAACCAAATCCTGTATTTACTGTATGTGAGATGTAGTGTAATTAACAGCAGGTCATTTAAAATACCTCCTTCCACGGTTGCTCCCCATCCTGATACCCAGCACATTTTCCCTTCTGGGAACTGTTCACCAAAATTAGGCAGACAAATTGGCTCTATGTGACCTGGTTTAAAAAAATAAAAAGAGAAAATTGCCTTTAAAATTTAGCAAAATATTGTGACTCAGTAAAACTTTCGGCATGCAGTGAAGACTGGCAAAAGATTTGGCATGCAGTGAACTTCTTATGAACACCACCCACTCCCCACATAAACAGCTTGGCAGTTCTGCAGGTCTTTTGTCTTAGGGCCAGTTCCATAGGCTTGAATCAATACCTGCCCCAGGCCTAATTAGTTTCAAGTATGAAGCAACAAAAGAAGTGTTCTTCAATAAATTGAAGAATGAGCAAACAAGAAATGCACCATGTATGCAGCTGACTGGTAGATCAGAGACCCCACAGCACACTGGTTGGGCAGAGAAATGGCTTTAGCTAACCATGGCACAACTGCAGGGTGCCTTCTAACAGCTTTTGTGCAGTGACACAGAAAGAGCCACATATGCACACCTCTGCTCTCTTCTGAAAGGGCAACAAGACATCTTTTTTGCTTCCCACCAGTCGGCTTACGCCCTGGGGCACGCAATGCAGTGCAATATAATCAGCGTTTGATGCTTGCAGGAGCAAACTGACATGTAAGGTGAGCTGGCACTGAGCAAAGGGAGGGAAGATACAAGGTATTACTGGGTAATTCCTAGTGATTCAGCTCTGCACGGTGCAATGATCTCAGCTCAAGATACAAAGCACCCACTGTGGAGCCTCCAAGACCCCTGGCGTGCCCCCAGTCCCCACAGGGCATAGCAGGTATCTCAGGTGCAATGCTATCGCTGTTCTTGACAGACTCCCAGACTTCTTCCCCGGGCGAAACAAAACAGCACTAGCTGAGATATAAAGCAGAACAAACTCAAGCTTAATTTTCATTCAAGGTGGAAGTCTAGAGTATTTCAAGAGAATTGATTTAGGAACTGACAGTCTGTATGTGGCAGAGAGAGCCAGCTCCCCTTTGCAGAGAGCTCACAGTGATTAGGAGGTACTGGCAGGTGACCATTTCAATTCATACACATTATTTCAATTCATTAGCTGTGTCAGCTGTAGGTAGCATCCTGCTGAGGAAACAAAAGTAGTTTTAATTTAAAAGCATCATTATATTTAGATTGCCTTTTCTTCTCTTTGAAATTCAAGCTTAACTTTCAGCTTTGAAAGCTGCTGGATCTCCACATACTCACAGAAAGGACAAAAATCCCCACGATCTCCAAGTAAAATGAGGTGGGGTGTTTATTTTAGATAGGAAAAAATACTTAGAAAGAATAAAGTTAATGTTTGCCTATTATTAAATGCCTTCAGTAAGCCAATACCAGAATAGACCGGGAACAATTTGCAGAGCTCTGTGACCATGTTGTTGCTCTCTATGCCTGGATATTGAGAGGATTTCTGAGGGATTTCTGCCAGTGTAGTCTGAACAGGGACCACTGCCTTGCTGTCTCAGCAGCAAACTGGCTACATTCACACAGCACATCCATCATTGCTTGTAGAGGTGGTGGGGATACACTGAACTGTCCTGGGTCAGGCATAGGCTACCAACAGAAGTTTCCCTGTCTGTGCTGGGAAAGACCCTTCATTTTTTAGCTAGAAAGTCTAAAAAGCCAAGTGAAAGCTAAGGGGAAAAATTACCATTGAGAGCAAGCGGTGCTGCCAGTTTCATCAGTGCTATATCATTTCTCATTGTCTTGGGTTTATAATTCCGATGGTATATAATTTTTTCCACCAAATATGAGTGAACCTGGGTATCTTGCTGAGTCACAAAACCAACCTGCACACTCCATGACTTCGGGAAGTACAGGCTGAAAAAAGAAGTAGGAGAGAGTGAAAAACCCTCAAGAAAGCCTTCAGGTTGTCTAACTGCCCTCCGAACTTCCGAACCACATTAAACTCTACAGGCAAATAGTGACAGTCTGCTGTAATTGCTAACTTATGTATTAATAAAGTGAAATAAGGTGAAAGTGGCCTGGAGTTCGTAGGAGTGAGAAGGGAGCTCCTGCACTGCTAGCAACAAATAAGGCTGCAAAACCAGACAACTCATTATAAAAGAGAAGGCTATGTTTATAATTAAACAAAGAAGAGGAGGCTAAATCACAGTTTAGCATCTATTTACAACTCAAAGACTACTTGAACAGCATAAAAAGAAGCAGTGAGTATGTGGTAAAGGGCACTAAGCACAGTGCAACTTCCTAACTACCACTGATTGGTCCTGTGAACTTGAAAAGGTTTGTGTAATTAATCTTAAAGCTCCAAGGTATTTGAGCAACCAAGTACTAATTCTTGTACCTGTTAACTCAGATGCAATATACAGAAACTACAGATCAGGATACCTAAAATCTAGCTCTTCAATGTTGTTTTAAGCTGATTTCCCAGGAAGCCAGGAGAGCCTATAACATCTGAAAAGCGAGTCTCCTGATTTAGCCCACTTCTTGGGGAGAGTCTTTTTTCAGTAGAGACTTGCACTTACACAAGAAGGGAGAGAGGTGGTTTAAATGTAATGGAGCAAGCCCGTGAACTAAGGATAACCCAGTCTCTTCTGCAGTTTATTTCTTAGAGAAAGCACAGTGTATTAGCCCTCCTCTGCAGTGGCCCCACACACAGACGTGCTGCATGCAGGTGGGGTGAGTGGGACACCCTGAGCAAGACAGTTTAGGAACTTACTCGTAGACACAGTGGGCAGCTGTGATGATCCAGCGCGGGGTGATGACGGACCCTCCGCAGAGGTGCTGCCCATGGAACTGCAGGCTGACCTGCCAGGGCCACTGCTGAGGGGAGGACGCGTTGCCCCCCACGATCCGTGGCCTGTAGCTGGCCCGTGTCCCACATGCTGCCAGAAAGCAAAGGTTTGGGGTCCATGGAGGAAACACTGGCATGGTTTTTGTCATCTTCAGCCTTTCTGCTCTCAGCTTCGCTGAGGCTGGGAGGTCTCTGCAGCAGGACCATCCCCATCCCCATGGCCTACATCTTGAGTTGTAGCTGCTCAAGAGGTTTCTCCTCCTCCCTCCAATCCCTGCAGCGTCGTGCTTGGCAGCCCATATGGGGGCTGTGAAGCTCACTTCTGAGCTGAGCTGTAACCCTACTGTTCTGCCCTCCTTAAATGCACAGGGTCCCAGGGTCCCAGGGCCCCAGACAGGCAAGTTGAAGCATGTCCTCTCCCCGATGATTATTTTGCTGCTGTTTTTTTTGACTTTTCATACCCCAATCCAAAACCTAGCTGACATGGAGAGATGTGGGATGAAAGTTCAAATATTAAAACAAAATTTCCCTTTTCCTGATGAGATGACAAAGAATTGGAATTACAGCATTAGTCCATGCACTCAAATCACAATCTTAAACATCTACTGTCTACTGTGATTCTCATCAAAACACTCCTGCTCCTAACCTGATGCTCCTAATCTGCCCTCTCAGCCTCTTTTCATTTTCTGAAATCCATTCAAATTTTATAAAAGAAATACAATTTTTCTTTGGTGTGATAAACTGATGGTATAGCATGCCCTGTGTACACAGCTCCTCCCAACTCTTGCCATGCAGTAGATGAAGAAGGACAACTTCAGATTTTGTTTCCTGTTTCTTACCCAAACATTTTAAGATGATCACATTGCCAGAAGTGCATTCCTCTCTAAGATGAAAAGACAGTGCAGTATTAGTTCCAATTCACAAATATTGAGTGTGTTTTCAATATCGTTGGCATCTTCCTGTACAGCTATGTGCACATAAATATAAGTAACTCATATTGAAAGAGGTACAAAGTCATGTACTCATCCAATCTACTTAGGGCATTTAGCTGAAATGCTTAGGAGCTTAGACACCATTGTGAGCCTGAAGACCATATGCTGCCCCACTAAAGGAAGTCTCGTTCTTCTGCAAGGGGAGGCTCATCAGCAATTCTCAACGTGTGATCTGTAGACTCCTTGGAGCTTGCTTCTCAGTGAAAGGTAACTAAGAAAAACAAGCAATTGTCAGGAGGAAGAAATGGGCCATAATGGGTTCATGAGCCCACTGGGAAACATCTAGGGATCTGTAAACTGAAACAAACTGCTTCACAATGGAAAAAATGTGTCTGGTGTCTATCTGCTTGCAAAAAGAGAATCACGGCACAAACAGGCTTTGCAAATAGCTCAGTTTAAAGCCTTTGCTGTTTCTGATGGGCCTTGGATCAGGCTCCAAATTGGTATTCCAGTAAGACTGCTACTGAACCTTGGTCTATGATGGATAACACTACCAACCATTTACCACTTGTCTGAAAAAACTGGCAACAATCTCAAAACTGTTGATAATTCTGCTTCTATCAACCACTCTCTTTCTGTCAGGGTGAACAAACCGAGGCATACCTGAGGCTTGTTGCATTGTGCAGGGATGTAGCTTGATCCGCTGATAACCACTCACTGAGGGATACGAAATGTCTTTGAAACTGTTTTTCAACAGCAGCCACGGGCAGGTAACCTGAACTCACGTAACTACAAATAAACCATAAGCACAGCTTCCTCAGGCAGCATTTCAGTAATCTGCTTAAATAATTCAGCGGTTCTGCTAATGAAAACCCAGTGTCACAACCACAATAATCAGACTCAGACACTTGACAAAGTAATTGCATCCTCCCCAAGAAACGTTTTTTATAACATGCACATATTTTTGCCACAACCCTGTGTGGAAGTCACAACATGCTGAGAGTCATTTAACTGGCTGAGAAAGTAAATTTTAATTCTAATGTTGCAACAAAGTCTTCATTGTAACTGGTTAGCACTGGCAAGCTCATTGACGCCTTTTTCTAGAGTTAAGTTTTGCAGCAGGAAGGATAAATAATCTGTAATTTTTCCTGTCCTTTTTTGTTGAAAAATTGAGATGTATTTTACCCTAAGGACAGCAAGAACTTATTCAAAGAAGCTTTATGCTGCTGTCTACAGTGTGCAGAAAACAAAATGACATCATTAGAAGAAATAACAGCATCATTGCAAGTCACAACTTCAAACTCTTTCTCAATTGTGTGAAAGTTAGTGAAAAACAGTGCTTTTTCAGGAATGGGATCAGTCCAGCAAGAACTACCTCGCCATGTTCTTCTCCAATAGTAAGATGGACCTTAATTCCTAACAGATGTCACGGCATAAATTGTATATACAATTTTCCTATCATAATCCCTATTTCCTACTTTTCTATTTCCTGCTTATTCCTAATTCCTATTTTCTACTTTGCAGAGGAAGTAAAAGAAATGGAAAACGCTCATATGGTTTTTAGTGGCTCCCTGACAGGTTGTAAGCTACTAGAGAGACAAATAGGATTCAGGCACTTGCATCCCATACAGAAGATTTAAGCAAACCATTATATTTAGCCATCATCCCAGATTTATAGTAGTAATAAATGGTATTTGCAGTGCACAAGTATTTACATAATTCTAAATCTCCTCAACCACATCATTTAAATGTGGATTGGTAATTCCTTTTTCTTTTAAAGCACAGATTAATACAAGGTTTGATTAGAAAGATTGAAAACCCCAGAGTTTGCTCAAAATGCCAAATAAAGTTTCTTCCATTTTGTGTTCCTACCTTGAGAAACCCAGGTGTTTGCAGGTAGTATTTCCATACTCTGCTTTCCAGTCATCAGAGCAGACTGTTCGCCAGGATCCAGAAGTGAACACTTGCAGCACTGCTTTCTTGCCACTCAACCTGACTTTGAGATTGTGGAAAAGGAAAGCCTGAGTGAGCTGTGAAGAAGAACCACTGGGTACACAACAACATCAATATACTACTGTGGCATCCACATTTCTTGGCTCACTGAATTTGTACTGCTTGTCTTTTTCATCACTTGGGTCCTTTAACAGATTGTTTTTTCCTCTTTAAGGAAGTAATCAAGATATGCTGAGCTGCAACAGCCAGGACTAAAAAGTCTATGCTCATGGCAATGGATGGGGGATGCTAGCTCTAATATAGATACATAAGACTGCCTTGCCCTCCAGTGAGCCTAAGCAAGTCTTGCAGATTGCAGTGAGTTGGAGCTACAGATGCCTTGGCATCAAAGAAACCTACGATCAAGATAAGTGATGACAGGTGGTTGGTACATCCTGTGCTGCACAGCACTGTCAGAGAGGTGGATGCACTTGCTCCCAGCCATGCCTGGAATCCTGTGGAGTTTCCTATCTGCTTCCCTCTCCTGAAATGGGGCTGGTGTGTCTGGGCTGATAAGAATATAAAGGCTGGGGAGAGGAGAGATGCACAGGTTTGGAGCTCATGACAGAGAGAAACTCAGACATGGGGCATATATTTTGCATATGAAACTCTGCAGTACTCAATGCGTAAAAGGCAGTGCTGATCTCTCCTGTTCCCACATTCCTTAAAATAATTACTGGCTTTTGCAATCTTCAAAACTGACAAGTGCAGCTGTGTGCCAGTGGGTACAGTACTGTATATATACACCACAGTGCAGTGATGGTACACCTTGCAGGTAGAGGAAATGCTAACAGTCAAGAACCATCTAGACTTCTAATGGAGAAACATGCCCAAAATGGCAGTAGAGGTATTCAGCAATCATCACATTTATCTTAAGAGCAGTTTGATTTCTTAAGAAGTGTAAATCAATACCTCAGAGAGATTGTTCCTCTGAAGTGGTGATTTAGATAGTCCATCAGCCTCTATCTTTCTTGTCTCACCCAAACTCTTTACAACATGAATTTCTTGATAATGTGCCAGATGCTACAGGAGGAGGTAGGAGGGATTTATAACCAAATTTAAGTTACCACATCTGTACTCATCCTCCCCTTCTTTACAGTTGAAGACACCATTGCACCTGGCTGATTTCTGGATACACTTAAAGGATGATCTGCAGCGAAACTTCCCAATGCAGTTGTATTGGACTAACAAGAACGAAAGAAAACAGGGTGATGAAAATACACTTGGATATTAATTTAACACTTCTGAATTCCATTATCTGCACAGATTTCTGTCTTGCTAATGAAAAGATAACTCCTGTACTCTAGGAACTTTTGAAATACAACCTTCACGTGGCTACATGGTGCTGTTAAATTCATCTATTAATGATGACTTGTAGGATGAGTCAGCCTTGCTATCTGTGCTGTTTCCCAGATCTCTCTACCCAGTTTATATTTCACTCCAGGGCAAGTTTCTGAGGCCTCAGCCTCTCAGCAGCAAAGCAAGGAGATGCTTGCAAAATATGGCCAGTGTACTTCCTTCCTGAGGAGCTGCCTCAGCCTTCCACAAGCTTATGGTGTGAAGGTACTGCTCTAGCATCGAGGTATTTAGCACCTGGATGTGAGTAGGTCACACTTTCCAGTCACAACTAAACTCATTCAGGATTTTCTTTTGCTTTGTAAAAGTTGTTTGTGAAAGGGTAAAGTTTTTTAATTCCCTGAAAAGAAACTTAGAGATGTGAATTGCAGGATAAGAATACAGTGTGTGCTACCTGAATCCTCCCCCACATCTTACTACCCAAAGGGAATCACTGAAGTTTTACTAGAGAAAAGTTTCCTTGAGCTGTGGGTTCCCCTGTGCTGTAAATATTACACCAATCCTCTCATGAGTGCCAGATCTATTTTATTCCTAAATGTAAATAAAATTTAAAGCCGTCACACCATCAAGATTCTTACTTCAGCAAACAAGCCACAGTAGCAATTTAATTCCATTCTAAGTAAAAGGCTCATGAAAAATTAAGTATTTGAAAGGTTAAGCGAGAACTTAATGAATAACTAATTATACTCACCACCCAGGCCAATGGCAACTGCTAGGATTACTGCGAGGAATAAACCACAGATATATGGAAAGTACTTTAGGGACATAAAAACATGGCACATTGAAGGTGGTTCGATATCTCCTAGAAACCAAACAGAGAGAACATCTTCTGTGAAGTTAAACCAGATTGAGTTTACATTGAAAAGATAGAGTTTGCAATTAAAAAGGTTTATCTAACATTAAACTAGACGGCAGTAGTAACTCCTTCGTATACTTCATGAGCTGACCTGACACAGAGTGGTTTGGAAACCCCAGCTCAGAGGCTGAGAAGGCTCCAAGTGTTTTGGGGCTGACTGGTGCTCTCAGACATCTCTTCAGCATTTACCTTAAAAGGGGTTTGAATCATGCTCTTACAGAGCACCTGGCCTGTTCTAAATGCAATCAAGGGTATGAGCTCTAAATTAATTTTCATGGGCTACATCACACTGAAAAATGAAATTTGGACCTGTTTTGTCTGTGAAAACAAGCCAGTGTGGAAAGTACAGGTATACTCTCTGAAGACTTCAGAAAGCTCAAGTGGACTAATAAATTCTTTCAGTGGAAGTAGCAAAGACTAGTTTGAGACTCCTCCTTATGACTGTTCCTGCCTGTGATGCCTCCTGACTCTTGCTGGTACCAAGCCTGTGGTTGCAGTGCTCCCTCCAGGCTGTAGCCCCAGCTGGATGCTTCTCTGAGCACTGGGACAACTGAGTGTCCAGGACAAAGGAAATCCTGGGATGAGGATGGAGACCACATAGTTCTGCCTCTTGCACTGGGGAGCAAAGTCTAATGCTCAATACCTTCCTCCAGAGCTGGGGTAGCAGAGGCAGAGAAACTAGGAAGAGGAGCCTAAAGATTCGAACAGGAGCAAGGATATTAGAAAAAGAAAGGACTAAATAGGTTTTCAAGACAAGAAGGAGGAAAGTCATTACTCCTTTTGGACTTGGAAGCAAGGTTAACTGTTAGAAATCTAAATTTGCAAAAAATGAGACCCCAAAACTAGACTTAAAAATGTGGGAAAACATGATCTGTTCGAAGTTTTGTTATAAAGAGAGGGAGACAACTGACCAATGGCTCAAGGCTGAGTTTTGGGGTTTCAAAGGAAAAAACATGCATCTAAAGTTAAAATATACATAGTTAATAATTGCTGAATATGTTGGATGATCCTGACCAGTCACGCTCACCAGCCACCCCTATAGCTGACATCAGCTTAGTGGTATTGTCAACCTGGAAGACAACAGATTCCACTCAAATTAATGAACAGTTCACTTGTTTCAAATGTATTCTGATATACAAAGGGCAAACTATGGGGTAATAGCATACACAGCTAGCCATGGGCACTAACAGGAGCTGGCAGAACCTTGTCTTCAATTTTAATTCATGCAGCTCATCACCCCATCATTCTTAAAGCTTTCCTTCTGAGATTGGCAGACACTTCAAATCAGTCAAGGATCAGATATTTCTCCCACTGCGTATAAACTCACAAGTAAATCCCAACCTACACAAACTCTGTCAGCCGCAGCTGAGTAAGTGGTTTTGGCAATGGAGTTGGTGTCTGGTATGCTGGCATCTTAGTCAGCTCTTCATTAGGTAGCTAATGAACTAGAAAATTGAATTGCTCTATCTTCATCCTTCATGCTCACCCTGCCTCTGTTAAGGTTAATGGTTATTTTTGCCATGAAACCTATGGGAAGTAGCAAACACGCATGCTATTCCTCCAAGGCTGCTGTACTGTATATTCAGGATTTTTAATGGACCTATTTCCAGGTTGGTAAAATTTCACATAAGCTATTCCAAAATGTGTTTGAAAAGTGTGGGCAAATATTTGCTATGTGGTTGAAGTGTGCGAATACCCTGGCTGTGAAAAATGCTTGTGTATGCAAACTGACACAAGATGTCATCGCCTGTTAATACGCTGGCAAACCTCACGAATGGAGAGTGATGTTGTGTTTCTTCTTCCTCTAAGTGATTGCTTTCTCTGGCTTAGTGGGCAAGCATAGTTCTGCAAGGCTAAAACCTACATTAGGCATTAGATTATAAAGGTCAAAAAGCTGTGCAGTATCCCTACCACATCCATCTGCAGTGGGGTCCACTTTTGCTTGTGGTATGCAGAAAAATCGTTTGAAGGAAAACTGTATTTCTGGGACTGGTGGTTCATCTTCTGTAATAGAGATGATTTCAAGACTTCCAGTAGTGGGATTTGTCTCTTGTACTTGACTCAACTGGGTTTAAAAAAAAAAAAAAAAGAAGAAGAAAAAGGATAATCACATAGAATCATAGAATGGTTTGAGTTGGAAGGGACCTTCGAAGGTCATCTAGTCCAACCCCCCTGTGATGAGCAGGGACATCTTCAACTAGATCAGGTGGCCCAGAACCACATCCAGCCTGGCCTTGAATGTTTCCAGGGATGGGGCATCTACCATGTCCCTGGTCAACCTGTTCCGGTGTTTAACCGCCTTCATTGTAAAAGATTTCTTCCTTATGTCTAGTCTAAATGCACCCACTTTCAACTTAAAGCCATTACCCCTTGTCCTGTTGCGACAGGCCCTACTAAAAAGTTTGTCTTAATCTTTCTTATAAGCCCCTATAGGTACTGGAAGGCTGCTACAAGATCTCTCTGGAACTTTCTCTTCTCCAGGCCGAACAACCCAAACTCTCTCAGCCTGTCTTCATAGGAGAGGTGCTCCAGCCCTATGATCATTTCTGTGGTTCTCTTTTGGACCCACTTCAACAGGTTCATGTCTTTCCTGTGCTGAGGACTTCAGAGCTAGACACAGTCAAGTAAGTTGTGTACTTAAATGTTCATGAGAGGAGCTCTTACAGTTAATTGAACAGCAAACTACTGAAGTTAATATTTGTTAAAATTTGTCCAAGTAGCTACTTTTAATAGCTGGGAGTGTGAATCCATCCCCTGCTCTCTACTGTCAATAAGAAATAACAGAGACTAAAAAGCATATAACAGCTACACATCACCTGACAAGATCTTAATGCAGGGGCCCACTTAATTTTACTCCAGAAAATCTTTGATAACTTTCCACACAGTGAAAAACAAACCAGGCTATACTAGAATTCAGAGTAAATAGATTTGCAATGCTAATTTCTGACTCTGGTTATGCACACTGTCACTTGCAAAAGAAATCAGATTTTTGAACTCACAGCTCTGTGAAATAGGTCCAAGTTTGTTAAGGACAGTGGAACTGGTAAGCTGTAAAAGCAGCATGTTCACAGAGTCAGTTCCAGAAAATGCTCACAATGCCACATTTCAGGCAAAGAATACATATTTTATCTGCAGCACTTTAAGTCACCTGGAATATTTTTTCACCTTTCAGCAGACAAGTACAGTCAGTTTTCTACTCTTTCATTTGCTAAATTTCATGTACGTTTCAATGAACGTAAATTAAACTTTATATAGAGGCTTCTGGCTTTAAGGCAGAGAAAAGGACAGCTTACTGTGTATGATTTTAAATATATGTATATATTTAAAAAAAGCCTTGTAACTGGTGCATAGGTTGTCCATCAGAAAGCAAAACAACATTGTGAAGTATACCGCATGAAAGGTAGACACTGATGTGTCGTTTATTTAGATGATACCATATACTCCCAAAGTTTCACTCACCTCTTCCTGAGAAGTCATAGTTAAAAGCAAAACTGTTTTCTTTCTTCATTATCAAAAGAAACCACAAGGAAATTCTGAGGTTGCTAAGCCAGTCTGCTCTAGAAATGTTTTCAGTGAGTCGCTGTGGCTGCCTGTTCAGTCATCTGTTGCATATGGCATTATGGCAGCCGCCTGTGTAATTCAACCTGGTGACGGGTATCAGGTAGCCCTGGATGGCATGGCTATGGAAAGAAGATAAAAATTCAGCATGCCTTTTAATTAGCCTAAGAAGGTCAGTTAATATTGTAGTGTTTGCAAACCTTTCTGTAACCCCTCAGCAAAGAAGCATCACCACAGCTGATGAGCACATGCTCATCTTTTATCAAGACTAGCGCAGCTGAGGAGTCTGACGATAGCTGTGGGTGGCAAAGGGCAGAAGATCCAGGTGCTTTATCTCTTCAGCACACAAAGCTAAAGCAACTGTATTGTACGTTACTTGTGTTTATTGTTTGTTTGAGGGTTTTTTTCCCGTTCCCCTTGTAGTTTTATATTCTCTCCCCTTGATATTTCCCTTATCATTATTATTAGTAGTAGTATATTGTACTTTAGTTATTAAGCTGTTCTTGTCTCAACCTTTTACATTCTTTAGATTCTCCTCCCTGTTCCACCTGGGGAGGGTGAGTGAATGGCTGCATGGTACTTAGTTACCAGCTGGATTTAAACCATGATAGTCCTGAATAACTTACACTATAATATATATAATTAAATACTGCAAAATATTTTGGAAGCACCTTGCAATCAGTATCTCATGCTACAACTCATTTGTAATCTGGGATTTAGAAAATAAAAATGTATGCTCAGCTTCATAAAGTGCTCAAAATAAGTAAAAATTTAGCTGTTTGTCGGTTTTGGTTTGTTTTTCTGAGAAGACAGATTGAAGACAGAGGGGAGGGTGGAAGGAAGAAGGAGGATGAGAGATGAAGCAAAAGGCCATGATAATTTAAGTGAAATGAGGCTCCTGAGAGAACAGGGAAGAAATGAAGGTTTTCCATGCCAAAACACAGTTGCAATGAGAGAAGCTCTTCAGTCCCTTTGCTGTGCACAGTTGAAACTGGCACTTCCAAAAGAAAGGCTGCCACATCATGATCCTGTTAACTGTTCACATTCAGGCCATGACATCAAGAGTACATCATCTCTTATGCCACTCTTTCAGCAGCCTTCCCTGGAAATGGGAAACATGGGGACATAAGAAAAAGTATAAAAACAAAAGCAGACCAGCAGTTCAGGTGAGCCTTTCAGTCTACGGGGTGAGGTGTCCTGTCCTTCCCAGAGAGCTGTGGTACCTGCAATGAGGACAGCCCAAGCCAGGGAAAATTGTCTCCAACCATTTCACCTGCTCTGGCCACTCTGGAAACACTGGGTTCCAGACAGTACAGGTGTGCAAAGGCTCTCGCCGTGGACCTGGTACCAATGGAAAGGACAGGTCACCCTGCTGTCACCATGAGCTGCCACAAGCCTAGTCTCAGGGCGTGATGTCTTGATGGGACATTGGCTTTGACCTTGAACAGTTGGCTGGCGCATCGCCTATGCCTGAAAAGACCAAAGCAGGAGCTATGTAGAATAGGGAAGGGAGGACATGAAAATCGAGCCCCAAAGGATAGAATGTGCCCTACAGACTAACTTCTTACATGTTTCAGGACATCCCTGCTCACCTCCCCCGTGCTGCAGTAGCAGGCAGATTTCCCAGTTTTCAGAAGACTATTTAAAATGCAAGGCTAGAAGATTCTGTCTCAGAGCTGTCAGTCCACCCTGTGGTGTTTGCCTTTGGACTACTAGTCTTCTGCTGGGGTGGATGGGAAACTCCTGAAGATAGTTTGATTTTTTAGCCACCCTGAAACAGAACTTCAGAGACGCAGATACTACGAAAACAGGATGTCAGCTTTTGTCAGAGAAGATCACAGGAGGTTTGAGGGTTTTTGTATTTTAGTTGCCTCTTTCTCTCTCATTTTCTTATTCCCTCCCATCCTCCTCCCATCTTACAATTTCTTATCACACAGTCAGGAGAAGTGTGGAGGAGATGGCGGTGGCTGAGACGCAGCTGTACGCAAAGGTGTCCAACAAGCAGAGGAGCAGAAGCACCTCTGTACTCCTTGAGTCTCTCCTTGCCAAAGGATTCCCAGCTCATATTGCGTGAGTAATGTGTTTGGCTGCTTTGCACAGTTAAAGGTATTTAAAATAAGAGATATTTCTCATAAGATCCTGATAGCTGGCAGCTTGCTTTTTTTCATCAAGAGAGCATGCTGCAACCTGGGGTGGTGTCCCTATACAGGGATCAGACCTGTCTTGCTTTTAATTTCTTGTAAAACAGTGTGTATTGCTTATATTGCTAAAAAAATCCACCCTGCTTTGTATCCATTTCTATAAATATCATGTATATGTGAAAATTCATGTCCTTCCACATCTTCAGGTTGAGAGGATCCACAATGAGTTAAAAAGTTGAAGTCCGTAATTTGCTCTTGAGATATATCGTGTTTCATTTTTTCTGCTTCTCACTGTTGTTATAAGGGACTTAAATGAGGATTTAACTTCTACTCAAAGATTTTTTCAGGCCTAGCAGAGACCTCCTACTGGGTTTTGTCACTGGGAACTGTTTTAAAACAGTAAGCTTTCCTTAAAAAGATGCCACATAAGTCTGTCAATTTTTTTTCCCATCTTGAATCAGGATCTTGTTCCAAAAGTGTTTTGTACCTGGAAAATATAATAGTAAAGAATAAGGCACTATTCTTGGTAACCACAGGCGGGTAAGAGATTAACTGGTGGCAGTTAACCAAGCTAATGAAAAAGAAATATGGCAGTCACTCCTCCCCCAGACATCATTCTAGCTGCAGAAGGAAGTTCTGGGGAGGATTTTCCAGCTTCTGAAGGACAAATATGGACACTTTAGTACAAATAGTTCAAAAAACAGATATTTATATGTCAAAGAACCCCTCATAAAAGTATTTTCGAAAGCAGAGCAATATCTCTCCCTTCGGACTGAAAATTAAGCAAGTTGAAAAGGCTCCATTCATAAATGCTGGGATGCTTTTTTAGGAATAGCTGTGTTTAGCGCATCAACTTTAGACACAATGTGCACAGTTTACAAGGAAACTGTGGGTCCCTTGTTCCAGGTTATGCACAGTGAAATTTCAGCTGAGAACATAGCTCATCATTTCTCTAGTAATGCTGTAAGTTTGGCCACCCCAAAGTAATGGCTAGATTTCAATTTTTTTTGTCCTGTATATAATGTTCTTCAAATCCCCTTCTAAACACTTTCTGCTGTTTCTAAGATAGCTTTGTGCTTCCCAGATCGAAATCAAGAAGCAGTGGCAGAAGTACTATGCAAATCGACATAAAATGACAAAATGTCCAAAAGCACTTTATTTTTAATATATTCATTTTTATTGACTTTAAGACCTTCAAAATGTTGATTGTGTTTTTATAAAACCTCTTAGCTGTCTCTATAGCTCCAGGATTGACCCGTAAATGGAAGTACTGAAAAGCTGTTCTTTTGTTAATTTCTAGCCTGAGGAAAAAGAGGTTGGATGGAACTATTACAAAACCTCTCATAACGTAGAATCAGCAGGCCAAAGTAACGTTTCCCCAAAGAATAAAGACCAAATATGTGATGGACAAGCTAAGCATCTGATCAACAAAATGGGCCTTCCCTGGTGCTTACACAGAACTGAATGTGTGTCAGCAAATTCTGCTTTAGGGAAGAAACAGTTCATTCTCTCAGTAAATACACTAGTTTTAATAGATATTTTCAAAGGCTTATCCCTACTATTTAAGAGAAATGGGTATTTTCAGAATTTATTCTGTGCATCATCTTTTGATATTCACTGCTCATCTT